TTAGTGTTCTTGGTGTTTTGTGAAACTAGTCAAAACACATAAATGGATGGATTAAAGGATGTATAATCACTAGATGTTATGTTATATCAACTAATCAAGTCGAGAAACACTTACGTTTTCGGGAAATCGGGCGAAAACCTGGATGATACTTGAGAGAGTTTGGAGTTTACTCTTTAGGGTGAAAATGAGAAGTGTGGTAATTTGGGGAGTAAACTCATGCTTAAGCATGAGTTTACATTTTTGGGAAGATTTTTCGGCCCAAACATAAAAGTTTGGCCGTGAACTTCTAAAACACGAGGTGTTTGCGGCTTTGAAATTTCAAGACTCGAGACGACACTTCCTTTCACCCGTTCGTTTAAAGAATAATATTAAAATAATCAAACGAACTTTAAATTTGCTAAAAATAAGTAATAATGCAATTGACTTATAATTTGAAGTGATTGACTTTTAGGGTTTGACCGAATGAAAATTTCGAGTTGTCACAATTGTCGACCTCATCGATTGACGGTTTTTCCGAGCATAGGATAGAGGGGTTTAACTTTAATTTAAATTTGTATTTAAGGTTAGGTTTACGAACGGATTTAAACTGTGTGTCATATTTGATTTTTTATTGAAGTTAGTTCAATTGATTTTTATGTTGGAATTTTTAAACTTTTGCTTAAATTTATGGTTATCGAAGATGAAAACGCGAAGAAGAAGATGGAGACAGAAAGAGATATATAGAGATAAAATTATAATAATAATTATTTTATCCTTATGATTATTAGGATATTTCACAACAAATCCCTTATCTTTTACAAAATGGATTATATGATTTACAAAATGCATAAACAGTCCCCGTATATTTTAGAAAATGGTCCATGTCTTTCATAAAATTACAAAAGTCCATTATATTTTACAAACTGGTCCTATTTTTCATATAATAGAAATAATCATTTTGTTTCATAACATTATAAAAATGGTCAATACATTTCACAAAGTTATAGAAACAACTTAATAAAAAATATTGAAATGTATGTGTTTTAGACATTTACACTAATGGTCATTCTTTATAACGAATTTACATAAATATTCATGTGTTTCATAGAACTTACAAAAATGGTCTGGGTGTAAGAACATTGCATAAATGATATAAAATAGACAAATCTATATAAATGGTCATTATGGTTTACCAAATGTTAAAACTTCAGTCTCTACAAAGTATTTTACGAACATGGTCCTAGTGGTTTCTAAAACTTGCATGGTTAGTCCTTGAATAATATAAAACAAATTCTCTTGCTTTCTTCAATTAAAAAAATATATATAAACACAAACACAAGCTCCAGTATGTTAGGGTGCAAAGTTCTCAATGAATGTGGCTTACCCTCTTGTATGTGTAATGGGTTGAGTCTTTCCTATAAATAGGAAGTGAGTGACTCCCATTTATAAAAGAACTTATAAGAACCATTTGTAGAGTTTAGGTTTAGTGAGAGAAACAACAATACCCACATGTATTATTCTATTCAAATGGAGCTTAAACGTTTTTATTTACTCCTTGTGTTCTTGATGTTTGTATGATTCACTTGATCTTTACTATTCCACACATGTCACCATAATCTGGGTCACTATAGTTGGTATCAGAGCGGTTGTTCTTGAAATTCTCAAGAATTGATCCTTGATGACTACATAATTTGAGTGAATCTTCATTGTTGTGAGTTCTTCTTGTCTAAGAGAGTTTTTGTTCTAGAAATCGAATTTATTCCTTGATTTGATTCAAAATTCAATCTTCCCTCTCTAGAATACTTGTTAATCTCACTTTCTCTCTTTAGAACTTGGTACATATTTACTTTCTCTCTAGAGATTTCATTCATAATCACTTTCTCTCTCTAGAAAAGTTCATGTTCTTGTGATCATGGTGTATTTGGCTTATGATTCTTGGATCTTGATAGTTGAAAATGTCAAATACAAAGTCAATACTCAATAAGAAACAATTTTATGGGTTATTGTTGAAAGGCAGGTTGATTACATGAGAAACTTTAATTTCTTATGAAGGCTTGAAAGATGATCATGGAAGATTCATATTTCAACCGCTTGGGAAGATTGGAAGTTTTGAAATTACCATGAATATGTTGTGTTGTTATGGTAATAAAAAGGAAGGAAAAGAAAAGGAATTATTCAAAAATGGATATGTTTCTCTTATTGAATACCCAATTGATCTTCATGTTCTTGAGTTTGTTGAAGATGTTTTTGAAAAACTTCATGATGTTCTTGATGTTCAACACAAGGGTATTCAATGTGGTTTTCATGAAGATTTGAAAGTTTTTCATTCAATTGGAGTTTCAAACCAATGAATGCTTGAATTCTTGTGATTTGTTTGAAGGAATGGTGCCATATCGAAAGTCTTTAATCCAAAAAGTTCAAATGTATCAAACTCTAAAAGATTTGACTCAAACTTTCAAAGTTAAAGTTGTCAAGAATGAAGTTGTTCTTGAATTCAAAACTTCAAGATCCAAAAAAACGAGGAAGATAAAGAAGAAGAAGATCAAAAGCAAGAACATTTGGGTTTTTAAACAAAAAACTTCAAAAGTTGTATTGAAGCCGAAATCTATGAAGCAAATTTGGGTTCCAAAGAAAAAATCATCATGTGTTGCAATGAATTTGAATTCCAAACCCAAAATTGTTGAAGATTCTTATGATGATGCTGGATCGTTGAAAAATAATAAGAACGGATAGTACAACATGCATCGTGGGTGGTACAATGTGAAAATTTGAGATATTCTTGTTCCACAAGAGAACCGATATCTTCAATGATTGAGTTGAGTATGGCAAATAAAAAAAGAATTATCAAGAAGTTTTCTCAAATTCTTGAATCGATTCCGAATAATTCATGTTGAGATTGAGGATGAACGAATGCTTAAGGTTTTTCTCGAAATTCGAATTCAATCATTTTTTAATTAGTGCTTTTCGTTTTTGATGATTTGATCGTTTTGACCCGTTGGATCAAAATTGTTTCAACCCCATTGATGATCCAATAATTTTTTTTAAGATCAAGCTAATCAAAATTTCTATTAGTTACTATTCATCAGATTAAGCCCAACCAAAAATGATTTTTGCTTTTGTTCATTGATCCAAAACAATTTCTATTGTTCATTCAATCCAAAATTTAAGCCCAATTTCTACTGTTCATTTACCATGAGGGTGAGGAAAATCCATAGAGACACACTAGCAAGAAGAGAAAGAGAAGCAAAGTACAAAGGATTGTTAAATATAAAATGTTACAATGAAGATAAGAATCCTAAACACAAAAAACGACATAAACCCAATTAATATATACAAAATAAGCAACCAAACTATAAAAGTAAATTGATTTTGGAAAAAAGGTTACTAATACCAAAACCTTCCACTAAAGATAAACATATAATAAACACTACACTTGAGCAAGCATTGCCTTTTATTTTGATCTTGACTTTGACTAGATTATTTTTGACCATTAAAATGAAAAAGACTATGAGTGGACTTTGAATTTGAGAAAAACTAACATTCATTGGCTTTATTTGCTACAACAATCTAACGTAATGATAATCAATTGACCTACCATCCAAAGAAATTAGCCAACATCTTCCAAGACTGAGCATTAGAGGTTTTACATACATAAAAGTATTAACTTTGGTAAAACAAAGCTTGTAACAAAATAATAATTGAGTAGAACCTGGAACACCACTAAGGAAAAAATAATCCATGAACAAAATCAATGCACCCATAAATCTTCTTAGTGAAATCAAAGGGTTTGATTCCTAGAAATCTATAAACGTGCTTTACGAAAATCTTTCATTTGAAATCAAACCCATAACCATCTTTCATTTTGTCGTTGTCCTAAAATGGAAGGTGGTGTGTAGGGTGTTTGTGACGAGTTATAGGGTTCTGGTCGGGAAGGGAGGAGGAAACTATCGATGATAGAGCATGAGAGAGGGCGAGATACCTAAACTAAAAACGAGGGAGTAAGGGGGGGGGGGGGGGGGAACGAAGTAAAAGAGAGTGCAATAACATTGGTATTTTTTTTCTTTTATTTTTAGTTGAAATTAAAACAAATAAAAAAGCGAGAAGAAATTAAAAAGAGAAAATAAATCATTTTATGTTGCTCAAGTATCAATCATGTAAGTTTTAGAAACCATATAGACCATAATCGTCAAGAAAACTTAGTAAAGATTGAGTTGTAATATTTGATAAGCCATAAAGACTATTTATGTAGTTTTGTTTCAAAATTATAAGTTGCTTACTTGAGTTCTTGAGTTTAATGAAAAGTTTTAAGGCCAAAGGACAATGCTCAACAATAAAAAGTAGGGATTGCACACGAAACAAAGAAATATTTGGACTAAATACAAAATTGTCAAAATACACTGAGGACCATTTCTGCAACTTATTATTTTCAAAATAAGGGTGCAAAGTGAAAAGTTACATTTGCTCTAACGTTCGGTTAAAGTCATCAAAGCATTCTCTTTCACTCTTCCAATAAATTAGTGACACGTGTCCACTCCTCAAGACCAGACATCATGAGTATCTCTTCCACGCTGCGTTCCCTCCTCCATCTAATTTTCCATCTTAATATATTCTCTCCCGTCACCTCCTTCCGATCTCTCTCCGCCGGAGAGAATTCATCGCTGCCGATTACACTGTCGGAGTTTCAGATTCATGCTTTATTGCTTGAGTTTATGCTTTATGATTCCTTGATTGAAGGTTATTTTCTCCAGTAATTCGATTAATTGTTTCGCGTTGTTAGGGTTCGTAGTTTTGTGTCGGATTTGTTATTTAAAATTTGGTTCTTTGAAGAAATATTTTTTTCTATTTTATAGACAAGAAAACGATTCATTTTCGGCTGCGGTTTGTTTTTTTATTTTAGGTTCAATCTTGCTCTTCCCCGTAATCAATTTTGGTTTTCACTGAAGAAAAGATTCAAAAATTGAAGTTGTTCTTGAAGAAAAAAGTTTCTTATTTTCTTCTTCAGATCTGCTTACAGATTTTAGATGTCAACAACTTGGGCTTCATCATCGTCCTACTGGTGCTACAGATGCAACCGATTCATCAGAGTTCTCACCCATCCTCAAGATTCGTCCCTAATTTGCCCCGATTGCAACGGCGGATTCATAGAGGAGATTGACAGCGCCCAACTCTCCGGATCAATGCTGTCGGAATCTATCCACCGGAGGTTTCCCGCCGCCGCTATGTACACATCCGAAAACGACCAAAGCCCCAACCCGAGTCTTAGCTCTAGTCCTTTCCCTAACCTCACCCCGCCGGTGCTTCAGCGGGCCAGAAGAAACACCGGTGAACGATCTCCCTTCAACCCAGTCATCGTCCTCCGTGGACCCACAAGCAATTTGAGCACACCGGAAGCGTCTGATGAAGCGACCACCGGAGCAGGTGGGTTTGAGTTGTACTACGACGACGGAGCTGGGTCTGGGTTGAGGCCATTACCGGCAAGTATGTCGGAGTTTTTATTGGGCTCCGGTTTTGATCGTTTTCTGGATCAATTATCTCAAATTGACGCTAACGGATTTGGGAGAATCAGCAACAATCCACCCGCATCAAAATCCGCGATTGAATCAATGCCAACAATCGAAATCCAAGAAAATCACATCTCCACTGAATCCCATTGTGCTGTATGTAAAGAACCATTTGATTTAGGAACAGACGCTAAAGAAATGCCGTGTAAGCATATATACCATCCAGATTGCATTCTTCCATGGCTAGCTTTACGTAACTCCTGCCCTGTCTGCCGCCATGAACTACCACCGGATAATCAAGATTCTATAGAATCCAACAGATCACAAATCAATGATAATCATAATAATAATAATCAGTCGGAAGAAGCAGTTGGGTTGACAATATGGCGGCTCCCTGGTGGTGGGTTTGCTGTCGGGAGGTTTTCCGGTGGGATGAGAGGAGGTAATAGAGAATTTCCGGTGGTTTTTACAGAGATGGACGGTGGTTTCAACAACCACAACAACAATGGTGGTGCCCCAAGGAGGATTTCATGGGCTTTAAGAGGTAACAACAATGGGGGTAGAGAGAGTGGTAGATTCCGGCGACTTTTGCATAGTTTTTTTTCTTGTTTTAATGGTGGTGGGAGGGCAATAGGGTCAAGTTCTATGTCAAATTCTTCATCGACTTCTTCATGGCGACATAGAGCTTTGGGATTTGATGCAAATAATGGGGTTTTGAGACGATAATTTGAATGGCTAAAATCTTAAAGGGTAAGTTTCTTTTGGGTGTAAATATGAGAAGTGGAAAAGAATATTGAAATGGAATTGAGAAGGTAAAATTTTACTCACTTTTTTTTTTTTTTTTTTTTTTTTTTTCATATAAACTGTTTTTAATAGACATTTTTGTTAACAAATTCTATTTATACAGAGAAAAGAGGATGATGAGTCACACAATGAAAAATGAAGAATGAATCTTGGATGAAGATTGTATAAAGGTTCAATTCCTAACTAAAACATAATATTTTAAATCTCTTTAGATGTTAGGAAATCAATAATGCAACATTATTATAGCCCGCAAGGAATTATTGTAATAAGTATTTAGTATTAATCAAGTTTTGGTCTATAGTCAAATCTCTGTTAATGTGTTTGGCTGCATATTGGTTTTGGTTTGTTGGTTATAATTAGGCTTGAACAAAAGAAAAGCCAAATGATCATTTATTTAAGATTCAGATTTTGATGTTAAGAATCGGTCTCACTAGGATATATCTTAAGCAAAATCTATAATGAGATATTAGGATCCCGATTATGATCTTAAGATCCTAACATAGTCCGATCTCATCTCGTTAGTTTTATTATTGAGCTTCAAAAATTCGTGTATTTAACTTGAAATCAAACATTGCAATCAAATTTTCACGTATAATGCACACCCAAAACCTTAGGAGTAAATTTGAATTTAAGTTCATTTAGGTATGATTTTTTGATCTCGATCTGATCTTATAATCACGATCTTGTAAAACATAAAACCATATTAGGTAAGATCTTGATCCGAACAATCTTGATTTATTCTTTTATTTAACAAAAACTAATTTCATAATACACATCCATATTATTAATATTAATTAGTCTTAAAAAGTGAGGAATTAGGGAGAAAAAGCTACAAAGATATAAAAATTTAGTGTTTTAATATGTTAAACCATGTTTTTTTAACTTAACTTATTAGATATTTATAACGTCCCAAATAAACATATAATCATGCAACACATGCGATAATCACAAAGATAATTACATACATAATAGTCATAAGACCCCGACCGACATCGAGCCTTGTCCGGTAAACATACAAGCAAATACACATACAAGAGTCATGCATAATGTATCTAAATCAAAGTGGAACAAAATGTATCTAATACATCATTAAACATCAAAGCAATCATAAAATGCGAAACGTGGTGGTGTGTGCACTTCAATCATCCCGAGTTCTTCCCTTTCGAACAAAAAGTAACAGAAACATAAATTAAAAACTGTAAGCACAAAGCTTAGTGAGTTTCCTAAAATACCAAATGACATACATAATACACACATAATGGGCCCCGCTCGGTATACAGATATGTTAGTCATCGGGCCCTACCCGATATACATATAAACAAATAAACATATAATCATACAACACATGTGGTAATCACAAAGATAATAACATACAAAATAGTCATCAGACCCGAACGACATCGAGCATTGCCCAGTAAACATACAAGCACATACACATGCAAGAGTCACACATATATCTAACACACTAACATAATAAACCATGGGACAACATTGGTGCCTTCAACCCACTAAACATAGTGATGAAACTCACCTCTAGTTGCTGAATCACTCAACTGGATCTCTAACTGTTGGCCCGGAAAATCCCTGTGTTATCAAAATCAGTAACATCCAATTATTAATTGGAATAACCAAAAATCTAAGTGATTTGGCTCATAACTAGGGTAAAAGACCATTTTACCCTTTATCTAACTTGGCCCAAAGCCAAGGCCCAACTCAACTATTCAAAAGGCCCAAATACCTAAAGCCTAATTTATGGCCTAATCTTCCAAATTAGGCCCAATAATCATCGTGGGCCTAAAATACATGGAAGCCCAACATGCTAGCCCCAAGACCAAAACAGATGTCTAATGGCCCAACAAGACCCAAACTAAGATAGCCTAAACTATTGCCTAATACCAAGAATGGCCAATCCCAAAACAACCTCTGTTGAGTACGTTGGGCGTACTCAGCTTGTACGCCCAACGTACTATCCTGTCCTTAAGTCTTCTTCATTCAACACTTAAACAGTTAAGACTTTCTGTAAACTCTCAGATCTGGTCCCTAAGGGTGACTTAGCACGTAAAGTTGGCAAATTTTCATACATGCATGGCTTAATGGGACTCAAACGCTCAAAAAGTACTTAACCAAGATCTTAATACATGGATGGATCAAAATATTCCATAATGTTGACATTTTTATGAACATAGGGACTGAATGGAGCTAAGATCTAGAATCCATAGCTTATGGAGTAGATCAAAAGCTCACCTTTAACACAAAAGATTCAAAAGTGCACAAAATGCCCAATAAACTAGATCTAACATATATGATCATCAAGGTGTGAGCTTTTTACCTCAAAAAGCTTGAAAATGAGAAGCTAACCTTGGATCTTCAAGCTCGAGCCACTCCTCTAAGTGTTCCTCTTCTTCTTCTCCTTCACAAACCACTAACAAACACTCTTTCAAACTTAAAACTCACCAAATCTCTCCAAGGTTTCGTTTTCTGGGACAAGGAGGATGTAGGCTGGTCAATAGAGGTCTGAGGTGGGGTTTAAGACATTTAAATAGGGCACTAACCTTAAAAATTAGGGTTTCCCTAGCTTTGCGCGTACTCCATGTACGCCCCGCGTACATAGGTGATATCCGCGATTAGGCATCGGGCTAGTATGCCAAGCATACCACTTAGTACACCCTATGTACTAGCTGAATGACCAAAATGAAAGGCTTTTCAATAAAGGGGGTTTAAAGTGAAATTTACCAAATTCTAATGGTATAATAATTTTGTCCAAATTAAATAAAAAATTACTATATTTGGTATCCTAATTAAATACTTATCTATTAAGACCATTTAATAAAGAAAAATACTCTTACTAAGGTTTAGTGTAACATCACAAAAACTATATGTAAAAAATTTCGATATTAGTTCTATCAAAACCATCATATATTCATGTTAAACCATCATAAGAATGTCAATGTGACAATAGTTATCTAAGTACAATCTCAAAATTATAAAATATTGGACACGAGTGGATGCCCTGCGATCAGGTCGGACTCTTCCCCTTCAATCTGGAAGTACCTGAAACATAAACTTAAACCATAATCACAAAGCTTAGTGAGTTTCTCAAAATATCACATACCATACGTACAATGGGCCCTGCCCGACATCCATCGGACCCCACTCGATACAAATCTACCAGTAACATGCGATGGGAATTGCCCAACATATTCATCAGGCCCTACCCGATATACATGGAAACACATTACAATACATGCAAGAACCATAAAGGCTGCTATCATCTTGCAAACATAATCCAATAGGCCGACATTGGTACCTTTGAACTACAAGTACAGTGAAGAAACCCACCCAAATCTAAAGACAACTAAATCACACACGCGTTGTTGCTATAAGGCTCCTCACACTGAACATACCCAAAATCATCCGTAATAAATAATTAGGGTAGTAACCCATAAACAAAGGTCTAAATCCTAATCCATCTTACCAAGGGTAAAAGACCATTTTACACTTCCTTTACTTGACCCATCTATCCATGGCCCAAACCCAAAATGACCCAAGGCCCAAAATGGCCCATATGGCCTTCTGGTGAGTACGCCCAACATACTACTCTATTACGCCTAGCGTACTGATTGATCACCAAGAAGAAAATGGGTCGAGACCTGTTACACGCAGCGTACCAGAGAGGTACACCCAACGTACTCCAACTGAAACCAAATCATCCTTCGAAGCTCTTAATAACCTAAGACCTAATGTCCAACTCCCATATCTGACTCTGAAGGACATGTTACATCATCAAATTCTTGACTTTATGACTTTTCATGGCTTGATGGAGTCCAAACCAATGCCCTAGATTCATAACTTCACTAAATGACCACTAACTCATGCATGGAAGAGATATACCAGTAACACCGGATTCCTGGTACGATTCCTGTTTATGTTTTTTTTTCTCACTTTGCCTTGGACTCGGTGAGTTGGAGGCCCTACTCGCCGAGTAAGAGCGATTTGGCACGGGATTTAAGTGAGGGACTCGGCGAGTCGGATCCCAGACTCAACAAGTCCATGCTGGTCGAGTAAAACCCTAACCAGGGTGTTTGCACCCTATTTAAACACTCTAACTCGGCCTCCCTTGTCCCTAACACTTCCAGAGAGCTGTAGAGTGAAACCCTAGCCCCCATATTGTTCTTGTGAGTGATTTTTGGCTTGGTGAAGGAAGTTTGGAGCTTAGAAGAAGAAGGAGGAGGTTGAAGAGTGCAAGGAGGGAAGTAGATCCGAAGTCTACACTGTGAGAAGCTTCCATTCAGGTAGAAAAGTTCCTACCTTGATCACTAGTTCATTAGATCCCCTTTTTGTCCCTAATTGATGGTTTTCAAGCCCTAAAACCTCAAAACCCATGTAGTTATGCTCTATGTTCCGAAAGGACTTCAGATCTGGACCTTATGGACACCTTAGAAGTGTAAAGTCTCTGTGGTTGAAGTGATTGAGGTCCCTATTGAGTGTATGACCTCATAAAGAGCTTGGAATTGCCTTTTGGAGCTCTTAGGGCCATGCATGCACGTAAAGTTTGCAACTTTACGTGATGAGCATACCCTAGGAGCTTAGATCTATGGTTTGGAACAGTTGCATGTCTCAGATTTGGTATGTATGAGTGGAGGGTTGAAGGGACTTGGCGAGTTCCAAAGTGGACTCGGCGAGTTCTATGAAGATGGTCTTAGACCCGTCCTCTTAGTGTTGTCATCACCTGATCCTGAACCTCTAATAGCTACATACTAAAATATACAACGAAAAAGGTCAAACATCAAAACACAGTGCTCAACACACTAGGCCTCTACCTATTAGTTCATTGGTAGCCTCGAGATCCCTTCTGACTTTCATACATATCTTGTGCTTTCAGTAGTACAAGCTCATACTACCTTCCACACCTATCCGTAGTC